TAGATGTCGCCCAGCACATCGAGCAGCGTGGAGTTGTTGCTGTTGTTCATGTTGTTGATGTTGTTAGCGGGCGGCGTGCTGAGGCCCAGCAAGTCGGCATTGGCATTGGCATTGCTATTCAGTTTGTTGTTATGATTGACGTGCGCATTGTTCTGCGTGATGGATGTGGGCGCTGGGCTCTTCGATTCGCGAATTTCATTCTCGGGCACGCGGCCGGGCTTCTTCTTCTTAAGCACCGCCAGTATGGAGCTCTCGCGCTCCGGGAATGAGGGCATCTCCTCCAGCACCGTGGCCAGAACGTCTGTTGACGCCACAATGCTAAGCTGCAGATATTCGCTGGCGCGCTGCTGCAGCTCCGCATCGGCGGAACGCAAATTGCTGTGCTGCCTGAACACCTCCTGGATGTTGGTGCGTATCTCGGGAAACAGATTGATGAACTTAATGTATGTGGAGAGCAACAGGGCGCGCGTCATGGGCGAGCACAAATGATACTTGGAATGCAGCAGCTTGAACTGCACCAGCGGCGCCGAGCGCGAATCGCCCGCAATCAGATTGCCAAACTCGCCCAATATATAGCCGCCCACCTTGACCATGTTCTCGTGACAGGCGGGCGCCTGCAATGCCTCGAACACGGTCTTGGCGGCATAGCCCTGCACCTCCTCGCGATTGATAACAATCTGTATGACACGATACCAGACCTCCTCCGACACATAATCGCCGGCGATGCGTATTAGATTGAGAATGACATCCACGTACCTACAAAACAAATGAAGGGTGGAATAATTAGCAACAGGGGGGAGCATGAATAGAAGTCCACTCTTACCAGGTGTAGTCTGTGGCGTATTTCTCAGCCAGAATGGCCACCTTGAGTACCATCTCCTCACGTATGGAATAGTCGGCCGTCTCCAGATAGTTGAGCATCTCTTGGACAATCTCCTCGGCATTGCCGCGATCGCACATGGCATAAAGCAAATCGACAGCCATTTGGCGCACCGAAACATCCTTTTCCATTTTCATAGAAAGTATAACCACCTCCTGATGCTTCTTGACCTCCTCGTGCGAGAACTCCGACGTCGCCAGATGGCACATGGACTCCAGCGCCAGATAGCGCAAATTGGTTTCCCGATTGCTGAGGAATTGGCCCAGCTGATTGCAGGCGCGCACGAGCAGATTGGGCTCACTGTCGCTATGTATAATCAGATTGATGGCCTCGAAGAGGACAGCATTTTTGGCATTCGAATGCTGAACCTTCTTGCTCTTGGGCGGCTCCTGCGCCTTATTCAGTATGGTCTCCAGCGTCTCGTTGAGGCGTGCCCGCACGCCGGCCTCCTCGGTGACCGGATTATAGTTCTGCAGCAGTCGCAACAGCTTCACCGATAGCCACGGTGCCGGCACAAAGTAATACGTGTAATCCTGCAGATCCGTATAGCTGGCGGTGACAATGCGCGACAGACGCGACACGGCCAGATTAACGCAGCCCTTATACTCGTCCGGATTGCGCTTGACCAGGGCATCGATCAGCGATGTAGCTGCCGTAACCACGCCCATATGCTGATCGTTGAGCAAGTGTATGATGCGCGAGGTCCACTCGCCGCCGGGTATAATATCCGGCGAGGAGCGAAACAGACGCAGCAAGCACAAGGCCGCCGACTGCTTGACCACATCCATGGTATCGCCCGAGACGAGCAGCTTGGGTATCTCGTTCGAGAAGGACTCGGCCATGTCACGGCTACCAATGTTGGCAATGCACTGCAGCGCTAGATTCACGTGCACCGGATTCCGTGATTGCAAATCATTCTTGATCGACTGAATGATCAGCCGGATCAGATCGCTGTTCGTATTCACCAGCACCGAAATGAACAGATATCCCTGCGAAAAGGAAAGCATTTTGAATATATTTCAATAACAATTAGCTAAGTTCCTATTACTCACGATCTGCTTCTCTGAGTATTTGTTGGAGGACAGCAGATTGACCGCCTCCATGTGGCCAAAGTCAATGTCATGGCCCAGCAGGAATATGAACAGCAGCTTGCACACATATTTCTTCTTCTGATAGCCATCGAGCGTTTTATCGCCTTTAAATTTGCTCCGTATGTTGGCCAACTCTTTGTTTATGCGTTTCACTTCCGCTTCTTTGCTTTTACCTGTGAAATTAGAGAAAGATACGTGAGTTTGTGGAAGTATAAAAGAAAAGAATTTAGTTTCTATTAGCAATAGTTAAGGCATATTATAATTTTGCCACAAGCATTAAAGGAGACATCTTTGTATATAGCACAAAAGGAATATATATGCATATATCTGACCGATTGTGAGCATCAACTTCTGAGTTAAATTATCCAAATATATCTGCCTGTAGCCTTTTCTGTACTAAGATCTCAGCTAAGCTATCTTGCTGATTTTCAAAAAATTCTTTAAAATTTACGATCTTCACCATGCTTCCAATTTATGGGCGATATTCTATTATCGTTCAACTATTAATTCACATAGACATTATAGTTTCTAGAACTGGAGTTCTCGTTTGAAAATCTTTTCCAATTTTTTCCCCCAAGTTTTCAGTATAAGATATAGTCAAGTGTGGGTCAAGGTTTGTGTTGTGCTTTTCTCTTTCTATGAGTCAGGGGGGAAGCTAAGCCGAATTCATCAAGCCGGAAATCACAACTCTCCCGCTCAGTATAACCACTCTCTCGCTCTCTGGCTCTCTGGTCGGCAATTAGTACCAGTCACCGATTTGAGGGATCGGGAGAACGGCCACGCAATAGATATGCTGGCGAGTTAACCAGCAAATGGGCCGTTATGTCTCTGTACGATAAACGAATGGAAGAGCGTCGGGAGTGAGCGCCGGACAAAGCGACAAGTTAAGGCTACAGAGTACAAACAATTTGCGGTACACACACACACACACACACACACACACACTTAGACTCAGATTGATATGAAAGCCGCCCCGCTTTGCGACTGTCGTTCTTCTCGTAATTGAACAAGAAATGTCGACATTGACGCCCCTATGAGAGTTATGAATATATTTGGATAAGAAAAGCGCTGATAAATTGAATTAAAAATTACAAATAAAATAAAATCAAGTAAGAGTGCACTCGACCAGAAAATACCCTGTACGCAGAAGCATATCATTCTCTTCCCTAAGTCCCACAGCATGTAAAATAAACCTTTAATAACCCATGTGTTCAATATCCGATTGATTTGAAATTCTCTAGGCTAAAAGATGACATTCAAATGTAGGCGTATACCAAAGTTTACGGCTCAGTATAGATCCTAATTTATCTAATTTAATAGAAAATTTAATTAATGATAATTTTAAAATAAAATCTTGCGAGAGCTTACATAAGTGCATTTAGCTCGTACAGCCTTATGGATCTACACGAATTTTGATGCTGCTCAAGAATATATGCAATATGCAAAATCAATATACCCACTTTCAGTGAATACAGAGTGTATTTAACAGTCTATTACAGAGTTACGTATGCAATAGCTACATATGTCTACTCATGTGTTTACTTACAATTTCTTATATCCGATATAAACACGGCCAGGCCTCTCATGCCATCCCCCCTCACCGGCGCCATTGTAGTTAGCTTGTTAATTTTCGCTGGTTTTATGCAAACTCGGGGCGAAGAAAAATCTGTGCTCGAGCGCTCGAGTCGATGCGGCGCTCTTATCGCTGCTCAGGCTCCAACGACGACAACAGCAACAACAACAACAGCAAAATGGCAGCAACAACAACCGCAAGAACCACAACAACAACAACAAACGGGAAGCGACAACTGTGCGACGTTGCCACTTGCTGCAGTCAGTTGCTGAGACTGATGAATGGCAAATTTTGATTTGCTAGCGAAAACAAAATAATGTTCTTTTCTCCTGCTCTCACAATCTCTCGCTCGCTGGTGCTCTCTCGGCAGCAGAAGACCTGTTGAAAATAATATATATATATTTGTTTAACAATCAATTGATATCGATAACAGTTTAGTTATTGCTTAATGGCATATTTGGCGCAATTTGAACTTTTGACATTTGGCGAGCAAGCATACGCCCCCCTCACACACTCCTCCACAGCCCGCCCACTCGTTTATATATTTGGCAAGCGCGTTGGCAGCACTTGCAATGTATATATATACATAGTATATATACGTGTGTGTGTGTATTTTAAACAGCAACAACAACGGCTGCTGCAGGCCTGATAACGTTTTGGTTTTGATGACCTTAATGCAATGTTTTATCACATTTTGCACTTGTTTAGGTAAATAAATGTATTATTAGTGCACGATCAGTGCCACCGGCTGGAGCCCTTTGTTGTTGCCAGCACTTATTTTGCTTTCATGTCACGTCTCGCAGTCGTCGTAGTCGACGTCACTTTTTTTTCTTTCTCTTCACATGAACCACAGCCAACGGCCGCAAGATGACGAAGTCGTTTTATTTGCACAGACCGCAAAAACAGCACCACGAAACGTTCCGAAATTTCGTTTTTCTTTTTTTTTTAATGGCATAACACACACACAATTGCTTTAAGTCGCGACTCAAATGCGAATCGAATTTGGTAGCCGCTGGTGCTTACTTTTTGAAACGCTGCAGCCAAAATGTTTTTGCAGAGAGTTTGCTGGAATTTGTGTGTCGTTTCGTTTTGGCTTTCTCACGGCTGCGGCTGCTGCTGCTTTTTTTGGGTTTTCTGTGTTGGGTGTTGGCCGCGGAATGTGTCGATGTGTGTGTGCGTGCCGGCGATGCAGCACTTTATGTAACCCGTGTAAGAATTTGAATTGCGTTCAATTGCTGTTATTAATTGTAAACTAACGCAAAACAAGCAGAGCAGCCAGGCATTTCACGAACTGAAAATTTCTATTGATTTTTCCTCTACTCTCCTCTCCATGCAACAGCCATCTAGCGGACACAGTGCTGTTAAACGTCTGCAACTGGCGCGTTTCGCGTCAAGTGCTGCACAATACATCCAATAGCTGTGCACACTTTCCAGCACTACCACATTACAACTCCGCCATTTTTTGCGCTACAGCGTTGCATATGCCGAGTGGTCGTCGACTATTTGTAGTACTCTACGTTTTTTATACTCCAAGAAAATAAATATAAAATGCTAGCGCATTTAAATGTGCACTAAGCGACCCGGCGAGCACAACGATTGCCTATAAAGCACAAGTGAACGGTTAACAAGCAATTACGCATGTGTTACGTACTGCCAGCGCCGTGTTATCATCAGAATCAGCGCAGCCGCCATAAAAGTGGCTCGAGAATTGCAATTAATTGCGGAATCAATAGGAAACAACAGCATCCAGAGCCGCAAACAAGGCCGTGGGCGTGTTTGCCAAGCGTTCCAACATGAGTTTTTCCAGCGACGAGGTGAACTTTTTGGTTTTCCGATATCTACAGGAGTCAGGTGAGTGGAGGAGGAGAACGTTGACAGACGCCCCAAGCTAACTCTCCCCTCCCCCATGCGTGCGTCTTTATTTCCACCGACAGGCTTTCTACACTCCGCCTATGTCTTTGGCATCGAGTCTCACATCTCGCAGAGCAACATTAATGGTGCTCTCGTGCCGCCCGCTGCCCTGCTCACCATACTGCAGAAGGGTCTGCTCTACACGGAGGTGGAGTGGAGCGTGGGCGAGGACGGCGAGATGGCGCGACCTATCGAGGGTCTCAGCCTAATAGACGCCGTCATGCCGGAGGTGAAGCCACTGAAGCCGACAGTCAAAACAGAGCCGGGCAAACCGGCCGTCGATGCCAGCACGCCGGCCACTGTCAATTCGAATAGCAATGCGAAAACGGAAATTAAGATCGAGCCGGGCACAGGCAATACGACTGCAGGCGCTGCCGCCAAGGGCACCAATGCCAGCACTGGCACCAGCACGCCCACCGGCAGCAGCGGCGCCGACACCAACGAGGTGGACTCCAGCGGCAATGCGGCATCGAGCAACAGCAGTACCGCGGCCGGCAATGGTAACAATGCCAGCGGCACAGCTGCCGGCGCTGCTGCCGCCAACTCAACGACACCTGCAGCCAGCGGCAATGCGGACAGCGCTGGCAGTGCGGCTGCGACGGCTAACAAAAAGGCGGGAGCTAACGAATCTGGAGCCACCAGCAGTACGGCGGCCTATCCGAATGCAACAAGCGCAGATGATGCCGCCTCGTCTACGTCCACAAATGGCAACAGCAGCAACTCCAGCAACGTGGAACAGCCAGCGGCAGGCGGCACGCCCGCTGTGCCAGCCGGTGCCAATGCAGAGGCAGGTACAACGGTTGCGGCAGCTGCTGCAACGGGCGCCAAGGCGGCCACAGGTGCAGCAAGCGCGCCGGCAACCCGAGTGGGCGCTCAGGGCAATAATGTGCAGACCACCTGCCCGACGACGGCTCAAAGCGCAGTGCCCAGCAGCACCACACCGGGCAACGGCGGTGGTGGAGGAGGAGGAGGAGGAGGAGCAGCAGCAGGCGGGGGCGGCAACGGCGGAGGCGGCACAGCCACGCCCGGCAGCACCGTCGTGGAGGCAATGGACATTGATCAGAGCATAGAGATACCTGAATCAAAGGCCCGCGTGCTGCGCGGCCACGAGAGCGAAGTGTTCATCTGCGCCTGGAATCCCAGTCGAGATCTGCTCGCCAGTGGCTCCGGCGACAGCACCGCACGCATCTGGGACATGTCCGATGCGAACGCCAACTCCAGTCAGCTGGTGTTGCGGCACTGCATACAGAAAGGTGGCGCCGAGGTGCCAAGCAATAAGGATGTCACCTCGTTGGACTGGAACGTGAGTAGCCAAATATCGATATTTGATATGCCGAACATATCGTTATCGATATCGTATGATGCTCACGAGCAATCGTTCGACTTTCAACACTGAAATTAATTTCAGTTTATATCGAAAATAATTCTAATCGGTTTTTTTTGTTTGCAGTGCGACGGCTCGCTTCTGGCCACGGGCAGCTACGATGGCTACGCACGCATCTGGAAGACAGATGGTCGCCTGGCCTCCACGTTGGGCCAGCACAAGGGTCCCATCTTTGCGCTCAAGTGGAACAAATGTGGGAATTACATTCTGTCCGCGGGCGTGGACAAAACGACAATCATCTGGGACGCATCCACGGGCCAGTGCACGCAACAGTTTGCGTTCCACAGTGCGCCCGCCTTGGACGTCGACTGGCAATCGAATCAATCGTTTGCCTCGTGCAGCACAGATCAGCGAATCCATGTGTGCCGGCTGGGCATGAATGAACCGATCAAAACGTTCCGCGGCCACACGAACGAGGTGAATGCAATCAAATGGTGTCCGCAGGGTCAGCTGCTGGCTTCCTGCTCCGATGATATGACACTCAAGATCTGGAGTATGACGCGCGATCGTTGCTGCCACGACTTACAGGCGCACTCCAAAGAGATCTACACGATAAAATGGTCACCGACCGGACCTGGCACAAATAATCCCAACACGAATCTGATACTCGCCTCCGCTTCGTTCGATTCGACGGTCCGGCTGTGGGATGTAGAACGCGGCAGCTGCATACATACGCTTACCAAGCACACGGAACCCGTCTATTCCGTGGCCTTCAGTCCGGATGGCAAGCATCTGGCCTCGGGCAGCTTTGACAAGTGCGTGCACATCTGGAGCACACAGACCGGACAGCTGGTGCACAGCTACAAGGGTACGGGCGGCATTTTCGAGGTCTGCTGGAATTCCAAGGGCACCAAAGTGGGCGCCAGTGCATCCGATGGCAGCGTTTTTGTGCTCGATCTGAGAAAGTTCTGATCCGCAGCAGCCGCAACAGCCGCAGCAGCAATAATTAATACATCTGCCAACTCCCAGCACCTTTTAGGTTATGTGTATTGAAGAAACCTGGATTCTAATATGCTTTTCGCTTCTGTTTTGAATGTTTACTTCAATTGTCTGCCCACTGTCCTTCACTGAGTTTTCCCTCCCTCATTTCGAGTCAAGACACGTTTCTCTGTCTGTGCTGGAAGTGTCGCTCGTGGGGCGTGGCAAACCGAGTTTAAGAACGCCTCGCGCAGCGATCTCGCCCAGCTGGCAGTCCGCGGGAAACGCGCTTTTAATTTAGCCGTAAGCTCCATATGTTTCTAAGTATTCATTTTTATACAGAGAACTCGTTTAGTATATAACTTGATGCATTTTATTGTTATTTTGTATACATGAGCGCAGTCTGGCCTAGGCCCAATTAAGTCTTAATCGAGCAACCTTTTATCGTTAGACCTAAGCATTATAAAGTGCATGCAAAATTAGTTAGTCGCCGGCAAACGGAGACGAAAACGGATCCAAGCTAAAAATGGATAACAACCGGTTCACGCTTACATTCGAACAGTGTAACTGCATCCCAACGTAGTGTGTAAACGATACTAATTATAAAGAATGGCGTCAACAGCGGCCACAATTAATTAAAGCTCCAAAATCGAACTCGAGCTTTTCTTTTCTGGTGCGAAGGCACGCTAGAGCTAATGTGGGACCATTGCAGAATGTTTTGAATGGGAATCTGAAATAAAGCAATAAAAATTGCATTCTCCGGTTAGCCGGAGATTGCATATAGCATTTAAAATGTGGTATTGCATAATTTTTTTGCTTATTCCTATGGGAGTTGATATCATAAAAAAAAGGGTAATACGCTCAGCAAGTGCAGCCAAGCGAAACTGGCAGCACTGGTTCCTTAAGCAGGTGATGCACAGCCAAACCAAGCTGGCAGCACTGGTTCTTTAAGGAGATACTGCACAGTCAAGCGAAACTGGCAGCACTGTCTTCTTCAGCAACCAGTGCTGCCCATGTTAATTGGCTCTCTTCACACGCAAAGCAATAATCTGGATCATTTTTATATCGCTTAGTTATAAAATATATTCAAAACATTTCTAGGGTATAAATAGTTGGTTATAAAGTCTAAAATTCGGTTACATTGTCCAAGTGACACTGCTTGAAGAAGCGGCATTCCTCGCGCTTCACTTCACCCGTTTTGGTGGTGCCCTTGAAGAACTTGGTCAGCTTTGTGCCCGCATATTTTGGCTTCTCCGAATCGGGCTCATCGAATTCTATGTCGTATGCCTTGTCCGCCAGCGCATTCTCCGCCGTTGACCAGCTGAAGCGCACCAGACGCGGAAAACCAAATACCAAATCAATGTTCTCGGTGAGGAATCGTTTGGTGACAGGATCGCCCGGATAGCCACTGCCAAATGCATTGTCCTTAATGACCAGGCCCTCGGGAAACTGCCAAACTTTGAGTGCATGATCGCGGGTCACTTTGGCGCATATACTGGCCGCCGAGACAATCGGATAGGTGGAATCGGCCTTTTTGGCCACCGTTATTTTGAAATTGGGAAACCGTTTGAGCAGCTTCTCCTGGTACTTCTCCGGCGGGCCCACGGTGTCCACATAAACCTCGGCTATATTGACGCCCGCATCGATGGCTTCTTGTATCAGACCCATTGCCGAGTCCATGGAGACCTCATTCAGCGAGCACTTGGTGCGTCTGTACATGCTGCTGCTGATTACATTGGGTGAAATGATTTCCACGGCCCAGCCAATGCAGCTGTTCGCATACTCCAGCGTGTTCAGATCGTTGAAGATGACCTCCCGTTTCTCCTCGGTCAACTGTTTGGAATCTGCGCAGCCCAGCTCAATCAGAGCGCTCTTACTCTCCAGCGGGCAGTAGGAGATGCCGTATACCATGGGGCCCAGCACGGGACCACGGCCCGCCTCATCCACGCCCAGCATGCAGGGCTGCTCCTTGCAGATCTCTGGCACATCGCTCAAATAAATTGTGTTTTTGCTGTTTTCGCGCGCAGCAATAAAGGGCCCGAGTGACTTCAGTGAGCTTATCTTATTGATATCACCCGTGGGCTCTTCTTCCTGTAATATATTGGGTTTTTCCTCACTTTCATTCTTAATTTCTATATCTTCCATTTTACGCGCGGGTTTTATTGTTTACTTAATCGATAGGCATGCATCGAACATTGTTTACGTTTTATGGCAGTGCTGGTAAGCGCACGCGCTGCCATTCACAGCGACGCGACAAAAACAATGCTAGACGCAGCCAACTTGACGTACATCGTTCTTTCCGGTTTAGGATTCTGTTCCGTGTGCTTGTTCTCTTTCGAGCTAAGGCCGATTATTATAAAACATTAATTTTTGGCAACTTGCACCAATTATTAAATAAGCAAACAGTTTAACAATGTCGACAAAAGCTGAGCTCGCATGCGTCTACGCCTCCCTCATCCTGGTTGATGACGATGTCGCCGTCACCGTAAGTTAAAAAAAATGAAGTTTTAAAACGAATCTACGAAAGTTGCGGCAATCCCAAACGATTTATTGTTGATTTATGCATGCTGCTTATTGTATATTTATTGTGGACGGCCCACTAATTATATTTATTGTCTGTTGCCTTTTGCAGGGTGAGAAAATCTCGACCATTCTGAAGGCCGCTAATGTTGAGGTCGAGCCCTACTGGCCCGGTCTGTTCGCCAAGGCGTTGGAGGGCATCAATGTCAAGGACTTGATCACCAACATTGGCTCCGGTGTTGGCGCTGCCCCAGCTGGCGGTGCTGCTGCGCCTGCTGCTGCCGATGCGCCCGCCGCCGAGGCCAAGAAAGAGGAAAAGAAGAAGGAGGAGGAGTCCGATGTCTCCGACGACGACATGGGCTTCGGTCTGTTCGACTAAGCAGCAGCATCACCAGCCACTGCAGCAAGAAGCATACAACGCCAACAACATCCGTCGTGTGTGTGAAGTGAAGTTTTTACTTTCCCCAATTTTCGTACACGTTTTAATGTACAGATGCGAGGAAATATAAAATGTTAACTACAACTGATTGCAATATTTTTCTGTATTTTATTGGGTTTTGCATACGCTCAAAATATGCCCTTTTTCAACACTTGCGCTATGGCTCTCAGTCCGGCCGTGTCCAGCTGCTTCAGGCCCAGCCCAATAAGCAGCTCGGTGGGGCACTTGTTGAGCGCCGTCTTGTTGATCAGGAACTGGATGCCGCCGCGTATCTCATCCGAGTCGATGCCCATGCAGCAGTTAATTGTCACCGGCACCGACACATGGAACTGTGGATCGTCCACGGGGCCGTGCAAATAGGGCAGCACCCGATGCTCGTGCTTTACGTCGAACGTCACATTGAAGAGCGCCGGTATTTTGCCCAGCTGTGTAACGAGCAGCACCCATTTGTTCTGAAAGTTGTGGAACACAAACTCCGTGCTTATGCCATTTATGTCTATTGCAAATTGCTTGTCAAAGCCACATTTATCGTTTTTGGTTTCAAACTCGCACATTTCGAAGCTACAAAAAGCAAAATTTGTATAATTTTTTTGTTTGTTTCGATAAACATATGATTCCAGGGACAACTGTTGCGGAGCTGCTGCTTAACAGCGTGGCACACTTTGTTCTGGTTAAGCAGGGCCTCGCTGGGATGCTGGGTTGTGCAAGTATTAAAGTGCTTTATTTTTGCGCAATAAATAAAAAGTAAACGAAACAACACAAATTTGAATTTCAGCAGCTGCCACTTGCATTGGACAAAACGATAACAGAGTGAGTCGGCGCTTATTCTCGGCAAGTGCGAGTTGCCCAACACTGAAACTATCGTCTCGAAAACACGAGCAGCACTAAACCAATTGCTCTTTCAAGTGAGGCAGCTTCGATTTTAAGCTAACAGAGGGCGCCACAATGGGTCGCAACGCATTTTTAAAAATGGTTGCCAAGACGAATTTGTTGTTAAATCGATAGAGGGCGCCACAATGGGTTGTAACGCATTTTTAAAAATGGTTGCCAAGACGAATTTGTTGTTAAATCGATAGATATAGATGTAGAAGTAGATATATAGAGCTTGCGATGTCGTGCATCTGCCTTGGACCCAAGCGTGCTGGTAAAACGCATCTGCTCAAGGCGCTGCAGGATCCGGAGTCCATAGATGAGACGAGCTACTCCATGCCCACCATTGGCACCGGCATCTTTCGCATTTTTTTCCCTGAAAAGTCAAAACATGCCGACAGACACAAACCACCGCCGCCGCCGCCGACAGCTGATGCCACGCCCCGTGGCGGCAAGCATCTGGCCAAGTTTATACAAGTGCTCGAGATTGGGGGCAGCATGGCGCCGCTCTGGCGCCAGAGCCAGTACTTCGAGGATGTCAAGAAGCTCATCTATGTGGTGGATGCGTCCAATCTGTGTCAGATATCAGCTGCAGGTGCGTACAGTAAACCAACAGAAAGTTAAGGCGCATTTTAAATAGTTGAAGTTTTAGGCGTGCTCTTCTATTCGATTCTCACGGAGCCGCGTCTGCAAAAGGTGCGAATCCTTTTGGTGCTGACCAAAATGGACTACTCCTATCGCCAGATGCGCAACGAGGCGCTGCTCATGCTGCAAATGTCCAAGCTACAGAAACAGATACGACAACAGGTGACCATTGTGGAGGCCAGCGCCGTCACCAAGGTGGGCCTGAACAGCATCTACGAATGGCTCCAGAGACCCTAAAGGGGATTATATACAGCACATATATATTTGCAAATAAAGCACGTTGAAACAGTTCCAATCTAGAGTTTGTAATTGAGATCCATGTACTGCAGATTGGCGTTCACCTCGCTGGCATCGGGCAGCACATCCTTGGCGGCATTCAGATAGGACTTGGCGCCCATAATGTCGCCGCTGTGCGCCGCCAGCACGGCCAGATTGTTGAGAGCAGCTCCATCGCGTGCGTCGGCGGTGAGGCACAGTTGCAGGCAGCGCTTGGCCAGGTTGAAGTCGCCCGATGTCTGCATAAAAGATTGCTTCAGTTAAGAAATGACTACAAGAGAGTGCTTTAGTTGAAGTTGCTCGACTAGTAGATACCCTGTAATCAGCTGTATCAAATGTCATTTGAAATAAGCTCAAGATATAAGGCAGCAAATCGATATTAATCGATTTTGGGATAATGTGAGAAGTTATCGAAGGCACAAAATGATCTTGATCTGTTTTTGCCTTAAGTGAGCTTTCATTTAAGATTAAATTCGTTGTTCAAGATATGTCCAATTAAAATGGAGCAATTAAACGGAGCTAGCACCGATATTTATCGATATCGGAATAGTAGTCAAAAAGTAATCGGTATTTGAAATATAATTGATCTGTGGTGCCTTCTGTGGTCTACATTCAGTGTTGGAAAATTATTAAGATAAAGATAAATCAAAAAAATTAAATTAATGATCGATATATATCGATTTGGGGAATATAGGCGACAGTGATCGGTTGCCTTCAAAACGAAACATGTATTGTTTGTGTATTAAGTTCTAAGAAATTGCAGGATATGATGAATATCAAAGAGGCTATTTAGCCTGATATTTATCGATTTTGGGAAAATGAGAAGAAAGTTATCGTTTTAAAAAAGGGAGAGCCTAAAAGAAGCCTACATTTAAAAGCTATTGTCTCTAGCTCTACAAATTTCCATGGCGATATTTATCGATTTGGGGAAAATAGGAAACAGTGACCGCTGATATTAATCGATTTTAGGAAAAAGGGCAGAAAGTTAACGCTTTGAAAATAAACGTGATGAGCTTAAATGACGCCTACATTTGAAAGCTATTGTCTATAGCTCTACAAATTAACTAGTCGATATTTATCGATTTTATAGAAAATACCAGAAAGTTATCGTTTTAAAATTAAACGTGATACGTTTGAGCTTTCAATGGCCTTCATTGTCATTGCCACAGTCTTAAGCTCTATGAATTTGCAACTCGATATTTATCGATTTCGAATGTGGGCAACTAGTTATCGATTTAAAAAAAACTTAAGCTGTGCGTATTTTGTGATCTACCATTATAGACTTTGAGAAGAGTCACGCACAGATGTTGATCAGTAATATATATGCCTAGGAAGGTCGCAAAATGATCCTTCGCATCAATATACCCTTCTTTTAACCTAGCTTCAATGGGAAGAATGGTTAAGATCTTTGACATACTGACCACGGCCACAAAGCTGAGATTATACCAGACGTCGGCCTTCTGCTCCGGCTGCGTGGCCATGAGGAGAGCGCGCTGAAAGCAGGGCAGCACCAGATCAACCTGGCCGCCATAGAGACAGCAGAGGGCGATGTTGCAGTAGAGCTCGGCCGTGTGGACGCCGAGTGATAGGATGCGTCTGTAGTACATGAGCGACATTTCCGGATTGTTGTCGTAGAAGTAGCCGACGGCAATGCTGGCCAGCGCCTCGACATTGATCGGTTGCAGCTTCGCAGCCAGCCGATAGAGCTGCAGTGCGTCCTCCTGCTGCAGCATGGCCGCATGAATGCGCGCCTGCTCCAGCCGATAGGCCACGTCGAACGGCTGCCGCTCCACGGCCTGCCCGATTAGGAGCAGCGCGCGTTCCGGCTGACGCAGGCGCTGATACAAGCGCGACAGCAGGAGATATGTGTCCGGATGCGGAAATGCCGCCAGGGATTGCTGGAGAGCCGGCTCCGCACGTCGCGGATAATGGAGCGCGAGCAGGCAGCGTCCCAGCTGCTGTTGCCACCACCAATCCGTGCGCGAGGCATCCGCGGGCGTGGCCATTGCGCCCTGGGCATGGCCGGGCCGATGCTGACGCTGCGTGTCGAGCACCGCCTGGCAGAGCGAGTGCGCCTTCTGTACGTCCGCCTCGTGGTAGTAGAGGAACTGGAACAGCGCCTTAACAATTGCCTCCCGCTCCGCATAGATGGTCGGATTGAGACGCGACGCCTGGTACAGCGCCGCCGTCGCATCGCCCACATTGAAAGCCGCCGCCGAGGTGGCGCGCACCCGGGACGCAGTGCCGCAGCGCGAGGCGGGTCGTGCGCCCAGCGCGGAGCCCGGACGGCTGACGGCCGTGCCGGGTCGCGTCTGCGCCGAGCCGGGCCGTGCGCTGTCGCTGGAGCGGCTCAGACCCGTCGCCACACGTCGCAGGCTGGTGCTGGGACGCGGCTGGAAGGCGGTCTTAATGCTACTGCCGGGTCGAGCCGCCGTCGCAATCCGTTCGAATTCCACATCCTCGTTTGCTGTGGATCGAAGGCGAGTTGTAGGTGAGGTTGTCGTTGTTGGTTCGCTTAAGCTAGAGATGGGCGCGTGTCACAGTTTTCTTTGAGCACGACATATCGATATATTGCAAGCACGACATATCGATATGTTTCAAACAGGTCTTTTATGCTGTTGTCGGTATTGCCCGACTAGGAGATATCCTAAGCACGACTCAAGGATTCCCTAAGCACGACATATCGCTAACACGACTTTTATGCTATGGTAGGTAATGACTGACTAGGAGATACCCTCTTCACGACATATCGATATATTGATATCGATATATTATTAAGACTTAAAACCCTTTTTCCAATCTTAGTGGAAATGGGGGAGGTATCCAAAAAGCGATATATTCTGAAACTGTTTATGGCATACGAGAGCATAAATTCCAACTTTACTGTAACTAGGCATCATCATTTTTGAGCTAGGCCAAAAATAAAGTAAATCACAAAATCGATATTTATCGATATGTGGGAAATGGACACATATATCGAAAGGAAATGATTAACTGCAAGAATATATATATTAGTTTGCGTATGATAAATGATAATATATATTTAAGATTTTGACATATATTTTTAGATTTGGATTTCGTGGTTTTCCGGCTCAAGGGGATAACATAGAGGAACAGGCGGACGGACTTTCGAATCTGATATTAATACTGATCAAGAATATATATATACTTTGTGGGATCGGAGATAATTTCTTACAAATTTAATATAGCATATTATATTTTAATCTTATTGAATATTTTCAGCTTTGTTTTGCTTAAGTCGTGTCACGACACGCGCCCAGCTCTATTTCTGGGCTTTGATTGATACTGATCAAGAATATATATATACTTTGTGGGATCGGAGATGCCTCCCGTTATGCATTACACATTTCTCTAAATTAACTTTTTGGGATTTCGGAAATATGCCTTAAGTCGTGTCACGACACGTGCCCAGCTCTATTTCTGGGCTTCGATTGATACTGATCAAGAATATATACATATATACTTTATGGGGTCAGAGATGCCTCCCGTTATGCATTACACATTTTTCTAATAAATCTTTTTGCGATTTCGGAAATATGCCTTAAGTCGTGTCACGACACGCGCCCAGCTCTAGCTCTAGACTTATTCGTTCTCAGCTCTCACTCACCCGCATCGCCGGCATCGTCCACCTCGAGATCGTCCAGGTAGACGCGCTGCGTCAGGGCGCGCATCTTTAATTGCCAGACGCCCTCCATCAGCCAAGTGGGCATTATGGATGAGGCGGCGGATGAGGCGGCGGCTGTGACTCCATCGTGGCCATCGCCACGTCCACGTTGCCTGGGGCCAATGCGCTGCAAATTGCTACCGTATCGACTCTGGCTCGACTCGTGCTCGGCCAGCTGCCGCTGCCGCTGCTGCTCCTCCTGCTGCTGCTGCTCCTCCTGCTCCCCGCTTTGCCCTCCCTGCGCCTGCTGCGGCGGCGGCTTGGCAAAGATTTGCACATTGTTTTCATGGCCAGCTTGGAGCAGCGTGTTGCATGCCTCGGCGCATCTCTCGTAGCTGCGCCGCCGATAGAGCGAGATGGCACGGAAATATTCCAGCTCCAGTGTCGCCAGCGTCGCCGTCGCCGTCGCTGTCGCAGTCGCAGTCGCAGTTGGCGTTGCCGTCGCAGTCGGCGTCATCAGGCTGTTCGCTTAATTTTCAAGTGTTTGAATTCCTCTCTGGCCTGCTCCTCGTCTCCTCGCTCCTCGTCTCCTCGCTCCTCGTCTCTGTTGGAATTTTAAAACCGGATGCGTGTCATTCCTTGGCAACGCCCCTCGCCCCCCCGCACCCCGCACCCGCCCCCGTCACTTCCTGCCTGCCGCTAATGCTTTTTGGTGGCTCCTTCTGCTTGTTTGTGCCCGCTTTTTTTTTTTTATATTTTTTTAATTTGTCTGCGTTCCTTCTAATTTTTCTATGCCCATAATTTGTACCTACCTTGATTTATTTTTATTTATTTCGTTTTTCTTTTTTGTTCGCCCTTGATGAGTTTTTTTAATTTGTGAAATCCTTTCGTCTTCTGGCTTGTTGTGGCCCGTCGATTTTTTTCGTTTGGGCTTCCGCTCAACTCTACCGGGAATTGCGGTTGCCATGACAGCTCTTTAATCGGCCACAACAAATTCAATTAATTGTGACTCGGTTGTTCATTACAAAAAAAAAAAATTAAATATTTTTAAAGAATTTTTCACCATTTTTCTTGGTGCTGAAAACCTTTTTTTTTTGGAATAGAGTTTACTTTTTAAATTATTTAATAGTTATTTTAACAATTTTCAATGGTTCGGTTCATGCTTGGAACTAGTTCTCTGCCTTGACTTAACCTTAACTTTTATGAATTGACTCAAGAAAAAAAAAAGCAATGTTGGAGTTTCAGCTATTTTATGGCTAGACTTAAATGAAAGAGCTAGAAAATTTGATAAAATTATATGATCTAGAAATCCATCTATCTATTAATCTATAATATACGAGACAGTAAGGATATCTTCGGCATGCCGAAGATT